GAAACATCGGGTAGGTGCGCATCCGTTTCAGAAGGGTCAGCGTGTACGCCAGGCCCCATTAGGCCACAACCTTAAACGGTCCAATAAACCGTGGACGAAGCTTCATCCGGAAGATAGCAGAGGCTGCATGCGATATCATGTTTTTATGATTTAGTAAAACCAGGCTTCCGACCTTGATGCGTGGAACGTCTTGTTGGACGACGTCGTCACCAGGGTCAGACCCAATAACTTGTGAAGTGGTGGGGATATCCCGACTCCAAAATCTCGTTGGAGTTTGAGGCACCACTTCGGCAAAATTGCGCAGTCGCTGTGGACGCTTTTGATCGGAACGATCAGGACGTCACGCGTCATCAGACGCCCCGCGCTTATTTAAAATAGACAGGGAAGCAGATGGGCCATGAGCTGAGCCCAAGTAGTGGCCCTGAGCTCTTGCGGTCGAAAGCACAGAGCTCGCGGGATCATTAGGGGTTGTTAACCCAAACGTCACAGGGCGACAATCCGAAGGATGTCGACGGCGTGCCTCGATTTTGGCAAACTGAAATCGGAGGTGTCGCTTCACACGCACGTCCACTTCCTGATGGCTCAACCGCAATTTATGTAGTACGGAAAGTTTCCGCTCAAAGAGCGCTTCATCATCTGAGCGCTTTTGCTAGGGGCAAGCATTACAGGTACTGTCCGCATTGCCGGTACACGAGAGCCACCTCGTTGCGCACTCAGCCGAGTGCGATAAGTTTCCAACGGAAATTCTTGAGGGACCAAGAAACGAGCTCGGAGAACTTATCGTGTGGCAAGTTCATCATCCGTTCTGACCAGGGGGGCAATGATGTGGACGCGTAACGATCGAGTTACCGCGTCCTTTGCTGCCACATCGGGATCCGCAGGGCGGAAGCCATATTCCACACGAGGGTCAATGACCGACCGTGGATGGGCACGCTTTAGAGCCGCCTTATGGGCAGCTTCAGGCTGCCGCCTCTGTTCCCCGTCGAGGTCATTGGTGGTTGCATCAAGTTCCTCAATTGACGAGAAGTCAGGGAATGGACATGACGTCCGCAAAGCGCGATAAGGGCTCGTATCACGCTGCTAGTGCAGCTCGCCTTCCTCGTCATCCCATGCGGGAAAA